CAAGTGAGAAACAACGTATAGTCTGTTTCTACCCATATACTGACTCTCTCCCAAAAACACAACGATCAAGTCTTTGACACTGTGGTTAGTGTGGGTGATATTCAATCTGTGATATCACTCCACTGCTGGGTTGGTTCATCAAGAAGTTTCCTGGAAGCACGTGATTTATCCAAGAAGGTTCTATCATCAAGAAGGTATAATCTGATCATTTTAATCCGCTGCATATTCTGTATATTTTTTTGAGTTTACACAGAGTTTATTTCAAAACTTCTTATGTTTATTTTTGTGCCATCTTCATGGCAGCTAAAGAATTGAGAGCTTAATATGACATATACCAGTAAATGCTAAATATCTATTATTTATTTTTATTTTATTATTTGGTAATGGAGGTTTCCATAGCTTTGAAAATGCTATGTACTTTTTCTTGAAAATAAATAATATTCTTGAATTTAGTTATTCAAAGACTCAATTGAGGCAAGGAAATAGTTACCGTGCTCTTGGATGCTTGCAAGATTGTCTTCTTTTCTTTCAAGTTTCTCCATCCTATCTACTTTATACGCACTAGCACTAGCAGTAGAAGGGTCCTGTAAAATTCTTTTTGGTGCCCTCTCATCTGGATATGCTACCGGTGAGCTGACCAGGGTTCCAATAACATGTGCCAGCCGCTGTTTCTTCATATTTGATGAATTGCTATTGCTCCGATGTGATTCTGCTTTGCTTTCTATTCCCAGAATATTTTGAGATTGTTGGATGCTTAGAGTGATGGTTCTAGCCATGGATTCAGAAAATGTATTTATAAGGGGGAGAAAGGTATGTTGGTGGATCTTAAACTTTAGTTGGATGAGTCAGGCATGCCTCATCCACATTAATAAAAAGCACACAATTCCATAACGAAAGATTGGTGTTGGGAAGGTGATGGTGTGACTGGTTTCTTTTAGAAAGAACAATTGCAGAGAGGTTCAAGTCTTCTGTTTTTAAGGTTTCACAAGACTATCAAGTTATTCAAGCATTCAATCTTTTTTCATTTTTGAAGTAACTTTGGAACCTTTTACAAAAGAGGAAAAAAACAAGAAATAAAAAGAAAAAGAAATCATACTGTTTGCGAAATTGGTTAATGCAAGTAAAATAATAAAATCAGTTGGGTCAGCATTTCAATCATTCAACCTTGCATTTTCTGCTTGCTACTGTGTGTGAGGGTGTGAATGCTTTTAGAGCTGGCAATTTAGCTTTGTGACAACACCATTCCTTTTTCTTAGACTGTTAGTGGTAAACAAAGCAAAGGCTATAGGCTCCAGACTTGTTAAGTAAACCAAACAGCATTACGAAAGATATAAATTATGCAGTGGTATGTCATCTTAATGATTTGATGGACAATAACATGTCATCTGTGAGAGATTACAAAAAATACCATAACCGCTTAGCTAACAACACTATCGAAAGTCTCCGATTAAACCCTTCAATTAGTTCTCCCTTCTTCATATATGCTTAATAATGGTGGGTAGTGCCTTAATCTGCCGAGCAGAAAAACAAAAAAAAAAAAAAAATGAATAAAGTGCAATCCAGGCCATTTTTGGAAAAGAATTTAGTTGTCAAATTAAAATTCCAAAGCATTTATTCATCATTCAGAGTATAAAATTTCATACTTGAGATTGAAACCACAGAATTCAATTTCTTTGTACAATTCCATTGTGAGGCTGAGGGAAAACAAAAGTAATTGAAATGAAATTTGTACTCTTGAAATCAATAAAGTGTTGCTTAATTTGGGAGGAAAAGTGACAGTTCAGAAAGTCAGAATCTGATAGGATCAAACCACTCAAATGCTTTATATCTGGATTGCAACCCTAAATTTCGGTATTCCTTTTCTTCTTATCCTGAGGTGGAAGTGATTGGATTGTAGGCCAGGGCAGGGCATGTAAATAATTTTATAGTGTTATGGATATAACAACCTTCATAATCCAAAATTGTGAACTATCATGATTTTCACAAATAATAACATAATGCGAAAAATAAATAACATACCCGGATCAATTATGCGAAACGTTCAAGTGACCCAAAATTGATTGAACATAAACTAATAATAATATTAGTGGAAAAAAGTTTCTCTCTCTTAACCATCTTTAGAATACATTATATTCAGAATAATTGATGGGTATCTAAATATACTTTTATAGGTAGAGAGAGGACAAGTTTCCTAATATAATTTTAACTTCACTTGCCCATCAAAGTAGAAGATTTGGAAATTATTCCATCTATTGACCAATCAAATAATAACTTGTGATTCATGATATAGAACTATTATCTTTTTAAATCGATAATTCATATTGCAATATCATGTGGGTTACCATAATAACTAAATAATTAAATTGAGTCTTACAGAGCATATCAAAGAAAGATGCTTCAACACTTTTCAATGGTCCATCTCAACATATTTCCAAGAACAAATCTAAAGCCGGCCTTGCAAACTACATGTTAATACTATATATATATATATATATTATATTCATGCTTACTTTTATTGTTAGTGAGAAAGAGAATCTACACATGATATCCCCCATCAGCATGGATTTCCCACATGTTGAACAACATTTCAGCTCTTGAACTTTCATGGTTAATGAGTGTTGTTGATTTGGTTCAAAATTTGTTTCCTAGTTCACTCGATTCAATCAACATAAATTGAAAGATAGTCAAAATGAAAAGAAAACATGGTTCTAGGTGAAGATAGCTAGCAATGACACGTAAGATGTTAAAATACAAAGAACCACCATCAAGGTTTAAGGATTTAGATGACACCGTATAGTGTCGTGTATCTTGGACAATATAGTTCAATGTAAAAATTATAGTAACACTTCATCAAGATTAAGATTTTGTCGATTTGAGTGCACTTCAAATATTGAGTAAGAATAAGAGGGATACTTGGAAGCATTCAATTAGTAATGTTTTGTTGGAAAGAACTGGAACGTTTTTGTAACCAAATGGGCTGGGCTGGACAATGGTAAAACTTCTCACAAACTCTTTGAGAGGAAGATCACTGAATAATAGGAGGGAAGATGAGTGACGAGGGGCAGAAATTGAAAGAGAGCTTCTGTCAATTTTAGTAGAACAATGTGAATGAAGAAAAAAAAAAAAGAAAGGAATTTTTTTTTATCACATCCCCTTCCATATTTTTTCCATCCACAAATTCCTCCTCAAGTCCAAGATCCAAACAAAACCTAAGAAAATTCCTGCTCATGATAATTTAGGAATCCTGTAACCAGCCTCAAGATTATCCGCCGTAACTAAATATCACAGTGCAAAAGCACTGACCCTTTGTTGATTATGAATTTTGTACTTCTCAAATTATTGTTTATGGCAATTTACTGGTTTCCTTTTCCACCTTGCATTCTTTACATATAATGCAAACGATTCTGAATTTATATGTAGCAAACAACATCAATGACCCATTTACTGATAAGAATTATGTTTTTTTGTTCCATTGAAGAAAAGCCTAAGTAACAAAGTTGTTACAATATTTATACAAGTTTGTTCTCCTAATTCATACACATCTAGTGAAGTAGGGGGGCCATGGGGTGGAACACATCTGTTTAATCATTTCTGATCAAGTTGTAAGTATTGAGCCTGAGAAAGTGCTTGCTGAAGACATTTCAAAGTTTTGTGATAATTCAAGAATCCCATGAACCAGAAATCAAAGTTGTCCATAGTAACTATTTCAATGTACTTCTTTGATGGTCTCTTCACGTTTTGGCTTTCATTGGCTCTCAATATCTTTTCTACCGGGATCAACACCTTGTAACGAATTCTAGCAAACTCGCCGGTTGGAGAAGACAATTTGATGGATCTGTCGCTGCAGAAGGCAACCTTGTTGGTGGAGATGAAGAGGAGGCCTCCTATTGGACCAGCTGTTGTTGATAAATAGCATTGGGAAACCTTTAGCAGCTTCTCTCCTTCTTTAATGCTAAAGTGGTGCTTGAAAATCTTCTCCACACCGCCTGCTCTAATAATTTTAGCCCCCAAACTCAGTTTCCTCTTCACAGTTTCAGTGATCTTGGGCCCTAATCTCACTGCAATTTTTACAAAATAATATAAGACTCGCATAGAGGCGTATCATGATCATCCTACTCCTATTATGTTGGTTTGGTTGAGAGGAAGAAAACAAATTTGTTTCAATGTTTGTTTCCTTTGGGATTTCAAAACTTTTCAGTTTGTTTTTCTGCCATCCTGTTGGCAGAAAAAACAAATTGAGATGTTAATATGATACCAAATAATTTTGCTAGAAAATAAATAATTATAATACCGTGCTCTCGGATGACATTTGCAAGGTTATCTGCCTTTCCTCCAAGTTTGTTCATCCAATTTACTTCATCTGCACATTAATCACAATCAATTTGTTAAACAATGCCTCTATTTTAATCATTTAAAACTAGTAAGTAAAAAAATAGCTCTTGAGCTCTGTATTGGCAAGAGTAATAGAGAGACTTACTCTGTTTTAATTTCAGAGATCCAATCGAAGAGGAGGATATTTGGTATTGGCTAGCACTAGCACTATTAGGGTCCTGTAAGATTCTTTTTGATGTCCTCTCATCCAGATATGCCAGAGGTGAGCTGACCAGAGTTCCAAAAACATGTGCCAGCTGCCGTGTCTTCATATTTGATGAATTGCTATTGCTCCAATGTGATTCTGTTTTCAATTCCTTGGTTTTCCTGTATGCAGAAAGCAGCTTGCTCGGAATGTTGTGTGATTGTCAGATGCCAAGGCTGAGGAGATGCTTAGTATGATGGTTCAAACCATGGATCAGCGAATGTACTTATAGGAGGAGAAAGTTAACTTTTAGTGGAATGAGTCATGTGTGCCTCATCCACATGAATAAAAGCACACAACTCTTAAAAAACATTCTAGAAAGAAGGATTGCTGATGTGAAGGTGATCATGTGTGTGGTTTCATTTAGAAAAGAGATTTGCAGAATCCAAGTCTTCTTTTGTGATAAATTCCTGACCGAAGACATTATTTGAGGTGAAGCATTAGATAATTTTTTTTAAAATAAATTAGGAGAAAGTAACTTTTGAAATTCCATTAAAACCTGCGAAGCAAGCATTCGATCTTTTTTCATTTCTAAAGTCACTTTTGAACCATTAAAAAATTTAATAATAAAACAGAAACCATACACTTTGTGCAATTGGTCAATGAAGGTAAAATAATAGAATCAGTTGGGTCAGCATTTCAATCATTCAATGTTCCAAAGCAGGACCATATTGCCTGCTTAGGTCTTGCTGACTGTGTGTGAAGGTGTGAATTAGGCTTTTTGAGCTGGCAATTTAGCTTTGGGGGCCATTCCTTCTTAAAAATATTCATAACACACCAACCTTGTTAGGTAAACCAAACAACATTAATATCTTGACCATTGGAGAACAATAATATTTCATCTTGATTATTGCTGTCTATTTCCTATTTTCCTGCTAGAATCTAGTTTTCAAATTAGAATTCCGAAACATCATTCAGCATTCTCAAAAACAAAATGTTGATGCTCTAGATTGAAGAAACCACAGAATTCAAGGTCACTAAATCAATCTAGTGTTACTTAATTTGGGAGGAAAGGCGACTGATGACAACTTCACAATCTGACAGGATTAAACCACCCAAATGCCTTATCTGAATTTGAGTACAATCCTCAATTTTGGCATTCCTTATTTATCTTATCCTCAGATTAAAGAAAGATGCTTTAACGCTTTTCAATGGTCCATCTCAACATGTTTCCATGTCCAAATCTAAAGCTGGAATTGAACAAAGATTTTAACTAAACAACCAAACAATATATCAGATAACTGTGTAAAGGTTCTAATAGTAAACACAGGAAAATAAAAGAGAGAAAGAAGAAGTAACTGAATTGAGAACAACTGCCCCAAAAGCAGAACCGTAATATCTTGAATAGAACACGATGATTACAATTTTGGAAAAGTATATTACCTTATGTTAGATTTGCATAAAAGAAAGAAAAGAATGAGAAGAAGAAAAGAGAGAGAATTGAGAATTGCTGCTGTGTTTATTTTTTCACTCCCAAACATATTAGGGTTAGGCATAGGGTCCTCTATTTACACACCACCTTTCATCTCAAGGCACACTATTAATTAATTTATTTTTTATTACAATTTTAACCTTAGGTAAAATGATCATAAAGGGCAAAGGGCTATGATATACAACATTTGTATAATTACCATAAAGGACAACAATGAATATAATACACATCAAGAATCTCAAACGTTAGTTACGTATCTTGTCTCTCAAAAATCCAAAAACCCTAAAACAAAAACCAAAAACCCTTAAAGAAATAACCAAAAATATATGTATTATTGAAGATTTTGATTGGATTCAATGATGGATGCATCTGGCAATACTAAACAATGGAGCAAGGAAAATGTTATTTTCTTATTTTTTTTTCGTTTTCCTGAACTTGAGGAGTGGTAAACCGTTTGTATCAGTTTGATTATCTAGAGTCGAACAATATATCCATGGTCGACTACCTACAACCGAACAAATTGTATATGTTCAGTTTCATAGTGTCGAACATACTCCAATTATTCGGTTTGTAAGTATCGAACAAACACCAATTGTTCGGTTAAAAATAGTCGAACAATTCTACTTAGTTCGACTCTGTACTGCCGAACACTTATAAAACCCTAAAATCTAAGCCAAATGAGAATGCTCACCTACTATATCTACAATGTGGAGTCGTTTCCAACTGTGACGACAACGAGCACCACCAGCGTCTTGAGGAGTCTTCACCAATGATTTTGTTCACCAATGGATTTGAATGGAGGGGGAGATGGATTGTGGATGGGGGTGGGGTGTGTGAGTGAGTAAGTGAGGGTAAAGATTGAAGATTGTGGGTGGGGTGTGTGAGTAAGGGTAAAGGTGGAAAGTTGTGGTGTGTATTGAGCAAATTGTTTATTTATCAATTTATTAAAGTAATAGTGGTGTGCCTTGAGATGAAAAATGGTGTGTCAATAGAGGCACCCTTACACATACTTATAATAAAAGACTAAATGAGCAAATGACATAACTACCCGTACACACTAATACTTAATACTCTCCCTCAAGTTGGTGCAAAGATATCTCTCATGCCCAACTTGCAGCAAATGGGATGGAAAATCTTACTACTAAGACCCTTAGTAAAGACATTAGCCAATTGATCTCCAGACTTCACAAAAGGCATATATATTAAACCCTTATTTAATTTTTCCTTGATAAAATGTCTGTCGATCTCAATATGCTTTGTTCTATCATGCTAAACAAGATTGTGAACAATACTAATGGTAGCTTAGTTGTCACAATACAATGTTAATGGTTCACTGCAAACAAACCCAATATCATTTAACAAGGACTGGAGCCACATCAGTTCACATGTACCATGTGCCATAGCTCTGTATTCTGTCTCTGCACTAGATCTGGACACCATTGTTTGTTTCTTACTACGCCATGTGACTAAATTCCCCCCCACAAATGCACAGTAACCAGAGGTAGATCGCCTGTCATCTATAGAACCAACCTAATCAGCATCTGTGAATGCCTCAAACCTCAAGTGACTATGATTGGAAAATAAAATCCCTTTTCCAGGAACAAATTTAAGATACCTCAAAATGCGATACACTACATCCAAATGAGGGGCACGAGGCTCATGCATAAATTGGCTCACTATCCTAACCGCATATGCAATATCTGGACGAGTGTGGGATAAATATATAAGTCTTCCCACAAGTCGTTGGTACCTTTCCTTCTCCATAAGTTCACCAACACCACTACAAAGATGGTGATTAGACTCAATTGGCGAATCAGCAGATTGACAGCCTAACATGCCAGTTTCCTTAAAAGGATCTAGAATATACTTCCGCTAAGAAATAAAGATGCCTTTGTTAGATCTGGTAACTTCAATCCTAAGAAAGTACCTCAACGGACCAAGGTCTTTGATCTCAAATTCCTTGGCCAACAGCATCTTAAGATGTGTCATTTCTTCCTCATCATTACCTGTCACAACTATCTCATCTACTTATACTATAAGCACAGTTACCTTATTTGCATGGCGTTTGATGAACATATTGTGTGATCTGCATTGCTTTGCTTATACCCGAATCTCAACACAGCCTTCTGGATTCTGTCAAACCAAGCTCGAGAAGACTATTTCAAACTATATAACCCCTTTTTCAACCTACAAACTTTCCTAATTGTAGACTGAGATAAGAATTCTAATGGTACATCCATATATACCTCCTCCTCCAAATCACCATGGCGAAATGCATTCTTCACATTTTACTGCTGTAAAGGCCATCCCAAATTTGCTGCACATGAGAGAATAGCTCGAATGGAATTCATCTTTGCTACAAGAGCAAAGGTTTCTTGGTAATCAATTCCATATGTCTGAGTAAACCCTTTAGCCACAAATCGTGCTTTGTACCGTTCAGTTATTCCATTTGCTTTCTGCTTGATGGTGAACACCCACTTACACCCTGCAGGCTTTTTTCCACTAGGAAGAGGAAACAGCTCCAAAGTGTTATTATTGCTTAGAGCTTGCATCTCTTCTATCATAGCTACTTTCCATTTAGGATCATTCATAGCTTTCTTCCAACCCTGGGGAATACATGCAGAAGACAAAGACGAAACAAAAGCACAATATGTAGAAGATAGTGAATCATATGACAAATTTAGACATGGAGTGTTGAGTACAAGCCCTAACCCCCTTTCTAAGAGCAATAAGAAGACTCGAATCATCGATAGTAGGACTATCAAATACTGGTAGAGAAATAGACTGAGGTGCATTACCTAGAATTGGCGTGAGAGATGATGATGGGTCTGGTGGCACAAGGGAAGCTTTCTCTTTTGGACGCCGAGAATAAGTCTTAAGGTCAACCCTGTCCAAACGACCACCAATGTCAGGCTCCACATCAAAAAGAACTACTAGGCTCCCCTCACCACAAATAACAGTCCGTTGACTAGGAATCAACAAAAATTAGAAAAACACTCGAACACACATCAAAAAATAAAAATAAAAATCTAGGGAGAAAACCCATCAAATTTCGACCATGAAGGATTATTTATTTATTTATTTATTTATTTATGTGTATAGGGAAGAACGAATGAAACAAGGAACAAGAGAAGAATCTTCAAGGAGGAAGATGAAGCTCTGAAACCATGTTAGATTTGCATAAAAGAAAGACTAAAGGAACAAATGACATAACTACCCTTACACACTAATACTTAACACCTTACAACTACTCTTGCTCCTAAAATTGAAGTTGTTATCACAACTACAATTCATAACTACTTAGAAATACTACTCATAATGATAGAATATGCTCGATCTTGGTGTTTGTTGATGTCCTTATTTGTATCTGCCATAGCCAATTTATAGGCTCATGTACATGTTTCCTTCAAAATTAATTAAAATAATTAATTTCTAAACAAACAATTACAAAAAGAAGCCAAACAAGATAATTACCCACACAAAAAAAAAAATGCAAAACAAACTCTCAATATCACTGTTGGTTTTTTATAAAATTAATTTTTAAGACTGCGTAACAAAGAGGATTTTTTTTAATATTCTAAAAAATAATTTTTTTCTCAAACTAATCTACTTTTTAAAAACGCAAGTTCAATATGATATCATATTTTGAATTTGCGATTTTAAAAAGTTAATTTGATAAATAATTTAAAAGTTAGTATTTTACATAAATAGTTTAATTTTTTAGAATATTCACCCAAAAAAAAAACTCGGCTAACAAATGCCTTGTACAAAAGGGGAAAAAAACAAAATTTAAAAATTTAAAAAACGAATTCAAAAAATTTGGAAAATTTTTTTTTCAAATATAAAAAAATTAAAATATGTCAACTGAAAAAAAAAAAAAAAAAAAAAATTACACTGTTTTGGTCAACCGCCCAGATGACCGGTGGGATGACCAGTTAGCCTAAATTTTGTCTCATTTGACAGAGTTTTCAAAATTGAGTGTGGAATTATATTTTGAAAACTCTAAACAAACGCCATGTGCAAAACATGGGGTGGAAATATATTTAGAGAAGCTAATCCAACACAGCCTAACTTTTTGACTTTTTTGAATCATATCACTTCTTTATTTTTTTTTATATTTTTTGAAAAATTAAAAAATTAAAAAAATCTACTTTTAAATTAATTCTCAAAACAAGCCTTAAAAGACAAAGTGTAATTTATCCGAATAATTATTGATATTTGTTGTATATATATATGAATAAAGATTGGTAATTCGAATTGAGCTTACCCGAATGGCTCAAATGTGTGCTTACCGATTGACTAGCTAAACAATCATTCGAAAAATCGGTGGAACACTTGTCTACTGTAATTGCCAACTTATCAATCATAACTGCTATTTTTTTTTGCCAGTTGACTGGACAAATAATCGATAAAATAAAATTCGACCCATGTAGAACAAGTTCAAATTCGAGTTCCTTATCATTTTTCATATATATATTTATATATCTATCTTCTATACTATTATAAAGTGAACAGGAATTTTGGTGTCCTGAAGCTTTACTCTCCTCATGCCATGTGGTATTTTTTATTTTTTAAAAAAAAGTTAAACAAAGAGATGGGCAAGGCTTGAACCCATGACCATGAGTTTAAGTACGAGGACTCATACCACTTAAGCTAAGTACACATTATAATATTAATTTTATTATTATTTTTTTTTATTCCTACTTATTTAAATTGCACACACATCGTGTGTGCCACCCACTAGTAAATAAAAAAATTAAACTAATTTGGACACTAAAAATCAAAATTATATTTTCAGAAGTGACGGCATTCACTTCAAATGAAATGTACACTTCACATAGGCTTATTTTGGCAACATAGTTATTAGACATTTTTTTTGGTTAGTAGCAAAAATTAAAAGTTGGCTTTTTTAGTTTTTTTTTCATTTGAGAAGTTGGTTTTTAGCCAACGGTAAAATTATAATTTTACCCCTCATGGGTCAAAATATGTTACATAGGTGAAGTTGTAAATATTTTAAATAAATGGGGGTAGTTTGGTCATTTTATTATGATTTGATATCATAAACAAATATTAATAAAAAAAAGTCAAAAGTCACTTTTTACCAACTTCCCAAATCATTTATCTAAAAAAACTAAAAATTTAGTTAAAAGTTAAAAAATCATTTTTTACCATCTTTGCAAGACAACCCATAATTGAATAGATTTGGTAAAGATGATATGTGAGAATTTTTTTTTATATTTTTTGGGTTTGCCTTGAAATAATGATGACAGGCTGTAAGAAACGTGGTTAAAATTTTTCATTCTGGTTAATTGTGATGTGAGGGTACAAGTACTTTGGGACTGTATTTGGTTTATAGAATTAATGTGTGATTTGAAAGAAAAAAAAATTAATAATAATAATAATAATAAGTAAAATATAATACTATTTTTACACTTTATTTTTAATCCCTACTTAAATGCAAAAATCAAATACAATTTCAAGATTCATCTAATAATGGGTAGAATCACATGCCCTTTTGTTTCAATACTATAACTGGACATTACTAATTAGGAGTGCCATGCATTGATATAAGGAAAATGCTTTGTAGCACTAAAAAAAGTCCCCCTAATCCCCCTAATTTCCTTTTTGAGAAACTGTTTTTTTTTTTTTTTTTTTCTTTTTTTTTATACAATTTCAAGATTCATCTAATAATGGGTAGAATCACATGCCCTTTTGTTTCAATACTATAACTGGACGTTTCGGGGGACGAAGCACTACCCTTGATATAATTTGCTGACTTTAAGATCTTTTTTATACTCAAAACTATTAATTAAATATTTTTGACTCAAACCCTCAAATTACTTAGCTGAGTTGAGTTAGCAATTTCATCGTCTCACTTAAAAATAATTGATATTAGGAAGGATTTTTTTACATAGACTTGGTTCAAAGATTGGGTGAAGATGGCGCACTCTACATGTCTGTTTGGTAACTATTTTATTTTTAATTTTTAGTTTATATTTACAAAATTTTAAAAAACTGTCATAGAAACTTGTTTGCTAATTTTCTTGATTTATAAATTGTTGTCTCAGTTTATAAATTTGAAGAAAAAACGTAAACTCAAAAAATGAGTTTAGGTTGGTTTTTAAACAGAAATTTAAAAATTTAACTAACAATTTTTTTTTTCAATTAATTTTTTTCCAATTATTTTTTTAATTATTTTTTTTTCAATTATAATGTGTATGATTTCATTGTCATAAATAATAAAAAATAAATATAAATATTTTAGGCCTGAACAAACATATTTTTTTGTTGATATTTTTAAAATTTTCCAAACGTTTTATTCAAACCAAACGCGTTTGTAGTTTATATTTTTCTAAAAATAAACAAAAATCAGTTTATTAAATTTTTGTAAACATAAACAAAAAACGTAAGCGTTACTAAATGCTACACATTTTCGAATACACTGAACCAAATACTATATCACAGGATTTTAAGTAGGACTCATCCCAAAAATAATATAAATCACTATGCTTGGTTATCATTTTTCAATAATACTTTTCAGAAATTTTTACTTTCTTATTTTTTGTGTTTTTTTTTTGTTTTTACTGAATTTTTTTAATATTTTGAGCAATTTTTAGACATACCTAACATAAATATACCTAAAAAGTAAAAAAAATTGAAAAAAAACCTTTTAAAAATTCACTAAATACCAAAAATACAAAAAAATACGAGAATTCAATATATATTTTTTGTATTTTTATGTATTTATTAATTTTTTAAAATATTTTTTCACAAATTTTTTACTTTTTAGATACATCTAAGTAAGATGCATCTAAAAACGTAAAAAAAATGTTTAAAATTTTAAAAATATTCACTAAAAACAAAAAAACACGAAAATAAAAAAACTCAATTTTTAAAAAATTTAATTTAAAAAACTTAAACCAAACACACTGAATGCTATTTTTTTTTTCTTTTTTTTTTTTTAGATATCGAATAAAAAAGTTAATCATGGCTCAAGTCATGAGAGATGGAGTGAGAAATTTAACACACTATAAAACCAAATTTATTTTAGTGTGCTTGTCAAACTTTGACTTTGACAATAACATGTTAAAATTCCATTTTTAGCATCAATAATTAGAGTTTCTCCCAACGTTTCTCAATTATTTCAAACAACTATTCAAATATTGCTTATGTATGAGAAGACGACACAACACACACACACATATATATATAGGGAGCTGTTAAGATGTGCACCTCAATAAGATGTGCACATCATATACACATTTATTTTAAGCCATTAGATTTTTACAAATGAATCTCAGCCACCGAATAATTTAATTAGGAATATTGGCAACCCCTTCAACCGGTTACTTTTTTTTTCAAATTTTTTCAATTTTTTTCCCAAACCCCTCTGTTTTTGAGACAGCACGCAGACCCTCCTCTTCGCCCTCGAAGACCATCCCTCGAAGGCCATCCCTGCGAAGACGACCCACCCTCGACTTCGCCTGAAGGTATGTCTCTCTCTCTCCCTCTGCAACTTTTTTCTCTCCCCCTTTCTCCATGTCCATTGTATGAAACCCTAGACCGCAATCCCTTTCTTTGAAACTGTGAGTTCACGTTTGCTTTGATAGTTGTTTTGATTCCGTTCTTCGACTGTCAGAGGTGTATGCAGCAAAGGAGATGTGTAGAATGATGTGTGAAACTGTGTATTTAGCAATGTATTTATACATGACCAAGTGAATCAGTGACGGAATCTAAAGCCAGACTTGTATGCTACTACGTTCGTAGGTACGTGTTGATGTGTTATAAGATTATCCAATTCCATGCTCAATTTTATAGTCAGTTGGAAAGATAATCTCAACATCATTGCCCCATCAGCGCATCACAATTTTTCACATGTTGAATTTGAACTAGTGTGTGTGTGAGTGATTTAAAAATTTTGATGTGGCATTTTAGCTTCTTGACACCACACCACCTCTTTTTAATGCTTAGAACAAAAGAGTAGGAAACAAACAGCCATGTTTCAGTCTCACACCAAATGTGTTAAAAAGAAATAAAGAGATGGATAAAAATCGTTTTCCGTTGAACCAAAAGCCTAAGTAACAATTTTTTTACAATGTTGTGATTGTACAACTTTGTTCTCCTAATTCATACACACATCTAATGAACCAGGAGGGGCGGAGGCGGAATACATCTGTTTAATCACTTCTGATCGAGTTATAAGTATTGAGCCTGAGAGAGTGCCTGTTGAAGATATTTGAAAGTTCCACGATAATTCAGGAATCCCATGAACCAGAAATCAAAATTGTCCACGGTAACTATTTGTATGTACTTCTGTGACGGTCTCTTCATATTTTGGCTTTCATTGGCTCTCTTTATTTTTACTACTGGGATCACGACCTGTATGCAATACACATTACTTAGCTACTTTGATTTCTAATTAACAATATGGAAATGCTGTAAATATAGATGTGTGTTGACTCACCTTGTAACGAATTCTAATAAACTTGCCAGTTGGAGAAGACAATTTGATGGATCTGTCGCTGAAGAAGGCAACCTTGTCAGTGGAGATGAAGAGGAGGCCTGCTATAGGACCAGCTGTTGTTGATAAATAGCATTGGGAAGCTTTTAGCAACTTCTCTCCTTCTCTAATGCTGAAATTGTGCTTGAAAATCTTCTCCACGCCGCCTGCTCTAATAATTTTAGCCCCCAAACTCAGTTTCCCCTTCACAGTTTCAGTGATCTTGCGTCCCAATTTCACTGCAATTTTCACAAAATCAAATAAGACTCGCATTCGCATAGAGGTGTATTGGTTGACAACTTGACACTAATACAGCTGTTTCAGAGTTTATTTCAAAACTTCTTATGTTTATTTTTGTGCCATCTTCATGGCAGCTAAAGAATTGAGAGCTTAATATGACATATACCAGTAAATGCTAAATATCTATTTTTTATTTTTATTTTATTATTTGGTAATGGAGGTTTCCATAGCTTTGAAAATGCTATGCACTTTTTCTTGAAAATAAATAATATTCTTGAATTTAGTTATTCAAAGACTCAATTGAGGCAAGGAAATAGTTACCGTGCTCTTGGATGCTTGCAAGATTGTCTTCTTTTCTTTCAAGTTTCTCCATCCTATCTACTTTATACGCACTAGCACTAGCAGTAGAAGGGTCCTGTAAAATCCTTTTTGGTGCCCTCTCATCTGGATATGCTACCGGTGAGCTGACCAGGGTTGCAATAACATGTGCCAGCCGCTGTTTCTTCATATTTGATGAATTGCTATTGCTCCGATGTGATTTTGCTTTGCTTTCTATTCCCAGAATATTTTGAGATTGTTGGATGCTTAGAGTGATGGTTCTAGCCATGGATTCAGAAAATGTATTTATAAAGGGGAGAAAGGTAAGTTGGTGGATCTTAAACTTTAGTTGGATGAGTCAGGCATGCCTCATCCACATTAATAAAAAGCACACAATTCCATAACGAAAGATTGGTGTTGGGAAGGTGATGGTGTGACTGGTTTCTTTTAGAAAGAACAATTGCAAAGAGGTTCAAGTCTTCTGTTTTTAAGGTTTCACAAGACTATCAAGTTATTCAAGCATTCAATCTTTTTTCATTTTTGAAGTAACTTTGGAACCTTTTACAAAAGAGGAAAAAAACAAGAAATAAAAAGAAAAAGAAATCATACTGTTTGCGAAATTGGTTAATGCAAGTAAAATAGTAGAATCAGTTGGGTCAGCATTTCAATCATTCAACCTTGCATTTTCTGCTTGCTACTGTGTGTGAGGGTGTGAATTAAGCTTTTTGAGCTGGCAATTTGGCTTTGTGACGACACCATTCCTTTTTCTTAGACTGTTAGTGGTAAACAAAGCAAAGGCTATAGGCTCCAGACTTGTTAAGTAAACCAAACAGCATTACGAAAGATATAAATTATGCAGTGGTATGTCATCTTAATGATTTGATGGACAATAACATGTCATCTGTGAGAGATTACAAAAAATACTATAACCGCTTAGCTAACAACACTATCGAAAGTCTCTGATTAAACCCTTCAATTAGTTCTCCCTTCTTCATATATGCTTAATAATGGTGGGTGGTGCCTTGATCTGCTAAGCAAAAATAAAAAAACAAAAAACAGAAATAAGTGCAATCCAGGCCATTTTGGATAAGAATTTAGTTGTCAAATTATAATTCCAAGCAATTATTCATCATTCAAAGTAAATTTCATACTTTGAGATTGAAACCCCAGAATTCAAGTTTTTTGTACAATCGCATTGTGAGACTGAGGGAAAACAAAGGTAATTGAAATGAAATTAGTACTCTTGAAATCAATCATGTGTTACTTAATTTGGGAGGTAAAGTGACAGTTCAGAAAATCAGAATCTGATAGGATCAAACCACTCAAATGCATTATATCTGGATTGCAATCCTCAATTTTGGCATTCCTTTTTTATCTTAGCCTGAGGTGGAATGGATTGGATTGTAGGCCGTCCTTGCACACTACTACATCTTAATACTATATATATTATATATATATATTCATGCTTATATTGTTAGTGGGAAAGAGAATCTACACATCATATCCCTATCAGCATGAATTTCCCACAAGTTGAACAACTTTTCAGCTCTTGAACTTTCTAGGTTAACGAGTCTTGATTTGGTTCAAAATTTGTTTTCTAGTTCACTCGATTCAATTAACATAAATTGAAACATAGTCAAAATGGAAAGAAAACATGGTTCTAGGTGAAGATAGCTAGCAAAACATGTAATATGTTAAAAGAGAAGAACCACATTTAAGGTTTAAGGATTTAGATGACTCCTTATAGTGTTGTGTATCTTGAACAATATAGTTCAATGTAAAAATTATAGTAACACTTTATCAATATTAAGATTTTGTTGAATTGAGTGCACTTCAAATATTGAGTAAGAATAAGAGGGATACTAGAGGGATTCTATTAGCAATGTTCTGTTGGAAAGAACTGGAAAGTTTTTGTAACCAAATGGACTGGAAAATGGCGAAACTTCTCACAACTCTTTGAAAGTATCAATCAGAATTGCTCTGAGAGGAAGATCACTGAATAATAGGAGAGAAGATGAGCGATAAGGGACTGAAATTGAAAGAGAGTTTCTGTCAATTTTAGTAGAATAATGTGAATGGAAAAAAAGGGGAAAAAATTTTAAATTTTTATCACATTCTCTTCCATTTTTCCCCCTCCAGAAATTCCTCCTCAAATCCAAAATCCAAACAAAACCTAAGAAAATTGCTGGTCATGATAATTCAGGAATCCTGTAACCAGCAGTCAAGATTATCTGCAATAACTAAATGTCACAACGCAAAACCACTGATCCTTTGTTGATTATGAATTTTGTACTTCTCAAATTATTTTTAATGGCAATTTACCAGTTTCCTTTTCCACCTTGCATTCTTTATATATAATGCAAACAATTCTGAAATGACATGTAGCAAACACAATCAGTGATCCATTTACTGATGATAATTTTTTTTTCCATTGAAGAAAAGCCTAAGTAATAAAGGTGTTACAATATTTATACAAGTTTGTTCTCCTAATTCATACACATCTAATGAAGTAGGGGGGCTGGGGGGTGGAATACATCTATTTAATCACTTCTGATCAAGTTGGAAGTATTGAGCCTGTGAAAGTGCTGCTGAAGTTATTTCAAAGTTTTGTGATAATTCAAGAATCCCATGAACCAGAAATCAAAATTGTCCACGGTAACTATTTCTATGTACTTCTTTGATGGTCTCTTCACATTTTGGCTTTCATTGGCTCTCAATATCTTTCCTACCGGGATCAACACCTTGTAACGAATTCTAACAAACTCGCCGGTTGGAGAAGACAATTTCATGGATCTGTCACTGCAGAAGGCAACCTTGTCGGTGGAGATGAAGAGGAGGCCTGCTATTGGACCAGCTGTTGTTGATAAATAGCATTGGGGAGCCTTTAGCAGCTTCTCTCCTTCTCTACTGCTGAAGTGGTGCTTGAAAATCTTATCCACACCGCCTGCTCTAATAATTTTAGCCCCCAAACTCAGTTTCCCCTTCACAATTTCAGTGATCTTGGGCCCTAATCTCACTGCAATTTTCACAAAATAATATAAGACTCACAAAGAGGCGTATCATGATCATCCTATTGCTATGTTTGTTTGGTTGACACTAATATTAATACAGCCATGAAGAAGAAAAGAAGTTTGTTTCAATGTTTTTCAAATCTTTTCAGTTAGTTTTTCTGCCATCTTGTTGGCAGAAAAACAAATTGAGATGTTAAAATGATATCAAATAATTTTGCTAGAAAAGAACTAATTATATTACCTTGCTCTCGGATGCCGTTTGCAAGATTGTCTTGCTTTCCTCCAAGTTTGTTCATTCTATCTACTTTATCTGCACATTAGTAGCAATCAATTTGTTAAACACTGCCTCTATTTTAAGCATTTAAAACTAGTAATACTAGTAAGTAGAAATAGCTCTTTATTGACTAGAGTAATGGAATGACGTACTCTGTTTTAACTTCAGAGATCCAATCGAAGAAGAGGAAATTTGGTATTGGCTAGCACTAGCACTAGCACTAGCACTAGCAGGGTCATGTAAAATTCTTTTTGGTGTCATCTCACCCAGATATGCCACATGTGAGCTGACCGGAGTTCCAAAAACATGTGCCAGCTGTTGTGTCTTCATATTCGATGAATTGCTATTGCTCCAATGAGTGAGAGTGAGAGAGAGAGAATTAAAAACGAGAAACGTAGTTGGAGTGTCATGCGTTTTTGTTAGTGATAATGTTTGAGGTAATGAAAACACAAGAACAAAATTACATATAAATGGCAACCGATAAACCGATCAATTACTATTCGAATATTGACTAAATTGATATTAATGATTAGGCTTTTACTAATTCATTGGGAACTATGAATAAGTTGGGAATTAATTGGTTTAGTGTGGCTTATGAAAACTAATTGATTACTGAATCAATTAGTTTATTATATCAAGGATCCCTACAATCAATAAATCAGGTCAAATAATGTTTAATGTACAGGTGGTGTTGCTGCTGGTTCAAGTTGCTGTGGCTAGATGCTGCTGTTGTTCTTCTCTGTTTTGGGCCATTTTGCTGATGCTAGTTGATACCAATTATATGTAGCTTAGGGGATTGTTGTGGGTACCTTACATGCCATCCACATTCTGAATGAGGTGAATGAATGATTGTTTAACAACATCCTTTGTGGTTGGGCATAAGAAGGCACCTAACATGTATAGGGCAAATATCCTCATAAATTCCTCTCCAGCTCCCTCTGTTTTGGTCAAATACTCTCTCAAAGCATTCAGTTTGATAGGTCCTTGGACAACTCCAAGTTCTTCAAATAGCTTGGGAAATGCTTGTGAAGACCGATACATATGTGGGAAAGTACCACGTCCTATGACACTTATCGGGGAAGAGCCTCCTTTGTGCGTTTGTCAATTGTGCTACAACTAAATTAATAATCTGAAATACATGCATCAAATAATAATTTGAAACCTATATCCTTAAAAATGACTTCACATAGCAATATTGATGCATGAAATGAACACTTACGGAACCACAAATCCATGTTTTTGGTTGTAATGAGCACAAATCGAATCGGGTGGCAAATTCAACCGGCGTGTAAAACAACTCCATGACCACAATATCCTCACTGCATCATGTACAAATTGAAGAGTTGCACTTATTGGTGATAGAGAGGAACATACAAACGCAATAAAATTACCTGCTTTCCAAATCCTTATCGAAACAATAAGCCTTCACAATTTGTTCCTCAGCAGATAAAGGACATGGCCTCACAATTTGTGTAGTCGATGACTTGTGAATTTAACCGAACACATAAACAATAAATTGTCATACTTCTTGCAGTGCATTAAAATAAGGGGATTGGAGATCAAGAACAATAATGAAATTAGTAATAACCTCAATGGCAGTAGCAGATGCTTCAAAATTGAGGCCAAGTAGTTTTCCAAGTAAGTTCAAACTCTAAAACAAATTACAACGAACAATAAATAATGAAAAATCCTAAAATATATTTATAGGAATAGCAACATTGTATAACACATATATTATGTACATGACTTACTTGATCAAACTTATCCTCCTTTGTATCGAGAGATGAATCTGATTCATCTAAATGAAGCTTTGTCTTGGTTGGTACTTTCTGAGTGGCTTTCCTTTTCTTACCAGCAATGGCTGTAAAAGGTGAATGTATGTCCACCCGCGCATCCGAATGTTGAGTGCAAGGACCGCCATATGGACCAATGGATGAACTAGATTCATCAATAAGTTGGAGTTTTGGGATTTTCTTTCTTCGATTGTTGTTCAATCTTACCTTGATTTTGTTCTTCGCTTGTTTGGTTTGCTCATGAAGATGGGCATCATATATATATATATATAACACTTGAATTTCATAAAAATATAAACATAACGCTATATTAGTTCCATAATAGCAATATGTTTTTCTATAATAACGACATACTGTTCTATAATTTAAACAACCATAAGAAAACTGGTTTCACCATAAGTATTTAGACCATTGCAAATTAAAACTTAAAACTAACAAACAAAAGTAATAAAAGAAGATATTATACGGTTTTAAATTTGAGTTTAGATTTTATATAGAATAAGAGAAGATACTATGAGGAAGTTGTATAATAAAAATATAGACTATTTGTATACGGTCCGGATCGATTCCAATTCGGAACCGTGGGATTCAATCCGGAACCAATCCATGAACTACAGATTTTTAATTCTTTAATCCAGAACCGAATCGCGAATTTAAAAAATTAATCCAAACCTATCGGATTGAACTGGACTGGATTGAATTACCGATTTCGCGGATTCCTTACTCAGCCTACTTAAAATAAGGATAAAACGAAGGAAGGTAACAGGGTAGGTGATGTTGCTCAGTCATGCCAATGGCCGTTCTTTGCACACTACCTGCAAACTTTCACTTCAGTAGAATGAGCATAATGCCCCGCTCTGTTATCACCAGGGAGCACAGAATGCGGGTCCCGTACGAGCTGAAGGAAGGGCAGTCTCGTCTTTTCCACAAGCTCCCTTCTGGTTTGGACATGGAGGTTATCTTCCAGAAGGGTCTCCGCTACTACAGAAGAAACCCAAATGAGAGAAGAGACAGATCTGAAAACCCACCTTTAGTTTTCATCCATGGAAGCTTTCACGCAGCGTGGTGTTGGGCTGAACACTGGTTGCCCTTCTTTTCACAGAATGGGTATGATTGCTATGCTCTCAGCTTGCTGGCTCAGGTCCTCTCTCTCCCTCTTCCCTGATACCATCTTTTCATTTTTGAAGCTCAATTCACTTGGATTGTGTTGCAATTGCATCTCCATTTTTTCATTTTTCCCCATTAAATCTAGGTAAAAAATTACTTAAAAAGGTTGATTTGATATGAGATGCTCTAAATTTAACCAAAAGCTTAATCTGGTGAAAAAATTGAAAGCTCCTATCTTTCATCAAATATTTTTAAAAAAATTGCAAGCTTATTACCAAAAGCTTCTTTCATCAAATTTGGTGAAAAACTTGTTTTTGCCTTTGATTTGATGAAATATTTGGTGAAAATTTGATTTGATACAAATTTGATGAAATGATTGTAGGTCATTTACACCAAAATATTCATCAAACTTAAATTTGATAAAAGATTTGGAAACAGATATATATATATATATATATATATATTTGTGGAATACTTTTTAATGCTTTGTTTGGTTGCAAAGAAAATGTGGAGCAAGGGAAGTTTTTCTTGCCAAATTTGGAACTTCACGCAACAATAAGTGAGGTGTTTAGATTTAATTCTTAGAGCATCTCCACCGGTTGAACAAATTTTTCACCAAATTTGAGTAAAAAAAAGACGTTTGGCTCAATTTGATATCAATCACTCCAATGGTGTTCATCAAAACGCACCGGACGACCGGCCGGTCGACCGGTAAGAGTAAATTCTGTACAAAGCTTGAGAAGCTTGAGGGTCATCCGGGTGGTCGACCCCTCAGTGTAAAATCTGTACAAAATTTTGCAAAAATTGGTCATCCGGTGGGTCATCTGGTGTGTCATCCGGTAATGAAAATACAACGGTAATGAACAGTGTTTTAGTGAAAGACCCAGCCCATTCTCAGTTTGGTGAAAGTTTTGGTTCATTCTCAATTTGATATTGTTTTGGTGCAACCGTTGGAGCACAAAAGGTAGATTTTTTTCATCAAATTTGAATTTGGTGTTGGATTTGGTGAACGGTTGGAGATGGACTTATGGAAATACTATTACTAGTTTGAAGTTCCAATCTACATATTCTTGGATAAATAACGGATCCAAAAAAGAAAATTATTGTTTTGGGATTTGTCTGTGAATTCATTTTATAACAATTCTTGCTTGTTAATAACAAACTTCCAATTGATAAAAGTTCATTTCAATGGTTAGAAAATTAGTACTATTTGCTTTGTTTGGGAGGGTTGAATCCGAAGCCTATCTCAATTGATTTTAGGGTTAACTACCATTAGGCCACTGTCATGCCTTCACTCTCTCTCTCTCTCTCTCTCTCTCAGACACACACACACACAGAGATGAGATTAAACTAAAGTCACATAAGATCTTGATGCCATTTTCTTTCTGAATTGAACATCCATTGAAGTAACAATTAATGCAATTATGTGAAGATGATTTTCTTTTCTTTTTCATATTTTATGGGCAAGTGAAGGTGAACTAGAAAGAAGTGTTTTTTAACAGGAGGAATGAATAAGAGATAGCCTTAGCAGTGTTCCATTTGGTCAGTTTGTGTTTTTTGTTAGCCTATCTATGGTCTTAATTAGATCTACTTAATAGATTATATTTTGTGTTAGTTGCTAGGAGTGCTTTCCCTTTTCTAAACGCGTGTTGCTTTTAGGCATGTAATGAGCTTCACTGTAATATTTGATTTTTTTGTTTTTTTTTTTGTGATTTTTTGGACCAAAAAGCAACCAAAGATTGGTCTACAAGGGTGAGTTGCCATTTCCTTTTTTTTGAGCTTATTTTTGCAACATTTCTTAGCCATATATGCTTTTTGCTTTGAGCTCCGGCCATAACTGAAAGTGGCCTTCTTTTGAGCTCTTTTTCACTTTTTCTTAAGGGCTCAACCCTGTTTGAGCCCCCCATCTTGCACTTGCTTCAATACCTTCCTTGAATGCTATTTTCTTGCATGCCTTGGCAGCCCATTATGCTTCCATTTTTGGGCATTTTACAGAACTAAAAATAGGCTTATTTTGAGTCCCTCTTCAACATTGAAGAAGGGCTCATCATTGTTTGGGACCTCCATGTACCACTTGTCATTATATCCATCTTTGGTCCCCATTTTTGCATGACTTGGAAGCCCCTTGTGCTTCTGTTTTTGGTCATTTTATAGAGCTATAAAAGGCCTTATTTTGGCCATCTCTTCATGTTTTATTAAGGGTCCTTCACTGTTTGAGGCACCCTTCCTATACTTTGTGTTGTATCTCTCTTTTAATCACCATTTTTGCATGATTTATTAGCCTATTGTGCTTCTATTTTTGGTCATTTTATAGAGCTATAAAAAGTCTTATTTTGGCCCATTCTTAATGTTTCATTAAGGGCCTTTGGTTGTTTGATGGATATTTAGCATACTTTGTGCTTTGGCCATCTTTTGGCCCATTTCTTGCATAAGAGCTTAGCCATATCTTTG